TTTAATTACTAGGTAAAAGGTAAGTAAGAATATTTATCTATACTAATATTATAAAGAGGAAAGATTTGTATTTTTGTATGTATCGAAATAACTCAAAAACTACTGGGGCCATTTTAAAAAAATCTTTCACCGTTAGAAAGGTGATTTATCTGTGAGTAACATAGGCTAATTTTTTTCATTATTTTATAATTTCACGTGGGCGAAGTCGCGAGCAACAGCTAGTATCTTATATTTGACATTTTTTTATTGACTTAACAGTGATAAAAGTTATTAATTCCTATATAATTCTAAATCTTATAAAAATATGAATACAATAATCGTTTTAAATAAAACGCTAATAATCTATACTATTATAATAAAGCGTAAACACACACTTCTATGTTGCCTAAGATGTCAGCAATTACACCATATTTTTGAATAATTATTTATTCAATAAAAAGCCCTACACTTACGTCACGCTTTAGGCTATATATTTTAACGCCATAAAACTTAGGGGGTAAATGTTTTGGATAAAAACCCTAATGTTGGAAAGAGACCATAAGTTGCTGCTAACATCAAGAAAGAAAGGTTGCTAAGGTTTGTCATGTCATGTCATTTTGGTATTTGCTATTGATAATTTGACAAATATAAACAATAAAATAAAATTTAAATGTTAAGTATGGTATGGTATACCTTGATAGATGTAAGTGATAGATGCTGCAGCCTTGTCAGTGCTGCCAGTGGTCTTAAATCCGAAGCCAGTGCGAGTCCAGCCAGCGATTTGAGCCGAAGCAGCTCGAGGCGGGGCAGCGCTGCGAGCGGCGCCGGGTCGAGTCGTGCGTCTCGTATCGCGGGGGCTGCGAGCGCGCGGAGCGAGGGCACGCGCGCCATCGCCGCCTCCACCGCACGAGCTGGACATCTGCATAACTCCAACCTACAAATTGTCAGATTAGTAACATAAAACTAGATTATTCACGTGAAAAGGAACGTAAGATGGAGGAAAAGTTCAAGGTCAAACTGTGACCTTGAACTAGTGAAAGATTTAAAGAGCATGTGAGCAAAAGATATCGTCGATTAAAATATCGATAAAAATTTTATGTTTTCAAAAATTTTTCTGGACCTATTGTTAACAGTAGGCTCTTTTTAGTTTTAATTATTTAAACATTTTGAAAAATATCTACTACATACGTACAATCAGACACACACATATGAGTAAAATTTATAAAGCTACTAGTACTTCTAGCCTGGTGAGATGATAAAATATAGTTAAACAAAGATATCTGCCCTCTAGACAGTAACTTTCGATTAGCAAAATCACTAGATCAACAGAATACAAACGAATTGAGAACCACTCTTTAGGAAGTCGGTTAAAACTATGTCAAAACATAGTGCAATAAATACTTAACATAGATTTAGCCAAGCCCAAGTAGTTATAGTATTCACATTATTAGTCCAACAATAGCCTAGCATTGGATTACAACTGAAAATATATATAAAAAGTGTAAAACGCATATATTCCTATTGGAGGATTTTTTTATTCCAATTGCAATCCAGCGCAAGTTGCGTGTGTTGGACTGGAATACAAAATAATATAATATTGCACATCAAATAACCTCTCTAAAGTGTCAACAGTGCCGATATGTTCAGCAAACTGATCCCAGAAGACAGTATCATTCTGCGGGAGTAGCATCTTGCGGAGGTCCAGCCACTTGGTACCGTGTCGCTTCAGCGCCGCGCAGAGACCGCACCAATCACTCACCTAGAAAAAAAATTAAACATATAAATGTCATTATATTTAGAAGAAACAGGTGTTATGTATGGTATGTACTATTCCAGTGCAGTATGACAGTTTAGCATGGTTTAGCTCACTGGTGAGTTAACGAATTAATTATTCCAGTTGTATACCAGCGCTAATTATGAATGCTACTGTGTTATTGTACTGGCATACTGTGAACTTATCGAATATTTGTATTGAAATCAATAGAAATAAGAAATTATAAATTTCCCATCTAAATAATAGTACCTTTATAAGGCTGTGATGACAGCTTTCTTAGAAATAGACATGTTAATATCTATTTAAACCCCAAAACTTTCCATAATAAAGTCTTCAATAGTTAAGAAAAACCCTAAACGTAATTTATATTTTTTTAAACAAAACAATATTGTAGTTATTGTACAGTCGAGGAAATCCGCAGTTTCACTTAAGGCAAAATTGCTTTGTTCAATACGAGACACTCCGCCTACTAGAAACTAGCCGTGTACTAATCGACTTTTTTTCTTAGAGACATTTATAAGCTGCGTTGTATTAATTTTTGTTCCGCGATCGATTTAAAATGTTGAAACGATTGTAGTCTTTAAGGTGGATCACCGTCAGTTTCCCCGATTGTATATTAAGTACAAATAAAAATCAGTCTCACATGTGAATTTTTCATCCTAACATGTCTCCAGAGCGCTGGCGTGGAGGCGAGTTGCTGCCACAGCTTGCAGACACGTGCACTGTGCGCGAGGTCCCGCATACCTAGGTACTGGAATATCTGTAAATATACATTAAATATTATAAGATGTTAAGAATGACAATTTAATAATAATAAAAAAAAGGCGGTTATTTTAGAAACCGCACGACTAGTGAGGAGGTTCCTGTCTCTGCAGCTCTGACCACTGGTTGCTTGAGTCATCGGATTCCGCAGCCGGTG